ATAGATCCAAGGTTTATAGGGTTGCATGTACACCATAGGAGTGTTAGAATGCTCAAAACCCAACACACACGTGATGGAGTTATGTTTTGAGGATCTTGGATTTTGTTTAAACAATTTATGAATATGTGTTTTTGATAAATTGCCATTTTGGGGATTTGTGAACTTTGTTTATGAGAATTATGTGATTTTTAAAATGAAAATTTTGTTTCAAAATTTACGGTGTTACACGTTGTCCATGGAGAAGTTTAAGCTTTGCTTAGACGTGATTGATGTTCATAGGAGGTAAGCCCCTTCGGGGCTTGATGGAAGGAAGGGAGAGGAAGTTCATGTTTGAGGTGGAGTTCAGAGGATGCTCAATTCAATGTGGAGACTGTTAAATGTGACTTGAGCATTTGGAGCATTCATGTGGAGCATTTGAGTTTAATAGAGCACTTGAAACTCAATGGAGCACTTAGGGTTCATGGAGCATGTAACAAAGGAACGAATCATCTGAGAAAGAGATGGATATCCTGACAAAGGAAAGGATCTTCTAAAAGGAGGTATGGAGCACCTGGAAGTGGAATGGAGCATCATATGCTTGGATGCGCCACTTAGAAGTCAAGGTGCGCCACTATTGGAACTTGATATGCCCTGAAGTGACTTGATATGCCACGAAGTGACTTGATATGCTAACAAATGACATGATATGCCATCAGGTGAAAGGATATGCCACCAAGTGACTGGATATGTCATTCATGAGGTGGATGCGCCATTGTGGAGTGGATGCTAGATATGCCAACCTTGGAGAGGATGTGCCATCCCTTGATCAAGATGCGTCATCTTCATGCCTGATGCACTATCTTGATGCAAGGATGCGCCACTTGGTTCCTTGACATGCCAAGGCATCCCTCGATGAGTTGTATGCTATGAAGTGCCTTATGTTGCTCAAGATTGTTCAAGGAAGCTCAGAAGTTGAAGATGCGCAAGGATTATTGCTTGATGTTCCACCATGATGGTTGATATGTCATGATGATCCTGATACGCCACTGTTGCGTCATGATATGCCACTATGGATCATGATGCTCCATCATGTGTGTTGTTGATGCTCATGCAAGGATGAATGTTCCAGAAGATGTTGCATGGCAGATTGTGATTGGTTGACACCTTTCATGGGCCTATGGGCCAATGGGCTTGGCCCATTAGGTTTTTAGGTCCGATTCCTCAAGTATAAACACGGATGCATGCTAAGTCATTTTGTATCTTGAATTCTAGAGTGTAAGGCGAATCTATGTGAAAATTATATTTGTAACCTCTGTTTGGGAGCTCTGAAATCTGAAATAAAGAATACTCCCCTCCTGCCCGTGGACGTAGGTTACCTTGACCGAACCACGTAAATAGTATATCTTGTGTGCTTTTAGTTTTTCTTATTATCCGTTTTACTTCCTAACAATGTTTTTGAGTAATAAACAAAATTTAAGCAGTTTGAAATTTCATGTGGCTTTATAAATTCGATATCTTATTGAAAAAAAATACATATTTGTGACAAAAAAAAACCTTTATTAGATTTTTTGACCTCAAATCCATAAATTTTTTTTGTTTAAGAGTCTCTCACTTAATAACTTCTTCTTCTTTCGTTTCAAGCAACAATGCAATCACCGACTTCAAATATGTTAATTTTGGTTTACTTGTCAAAAAGAACATATTTAAACAAAATATGTTGGGAGGTTTTCAATAGTTTATAAATTAAGAGAGAGATATATTTCAATAAGATATCTTTTATAGACTGTGTTTTTTGATATTTTTCCAAAATATACGAAAGTCATTTAATGTGAGCTATGTGAAACTTTGATATTAAAGCTGTCAAAACAACAAAAAACTGCAATATTAAAGCTGTCAAAACAGCAAAAAAAATTGCCAAAACGGTAAATAAAAAAGTTGTAAATGAAAACATCAAATATTGTTCCATTATATCAAACATTAGACTAATACACGCAACCATTACATCAAACATTCATAATTGTAAATCTCTGTGAAACTGTGTAACCATGAATCTGTGATGGAGCTGTGAAACCATGAATCTGTGAATCTGATAAATACGAATAAATCAAAATAAATAACGAATTTCATTAGAATAAATAACGAATTTGATCAGAACTATCAATCAATAATAACGAATTTCATCAATTGATTATCAGTTAAATATGGGAAACAAAACAATCACCTGAGTGTGGGATCCTGTGAACTCGATATCAACATAGAGTTTCAAAAGATTCTTCACAAGATACTGAACACAGAGTTGGTGCCCCTCAAAAAGTGTACTGGTAGCAGAAGATGAGCCACTGCAGACACACAAGTAAAAAGACGTAAATACCCTTTGTAAGCAAATAACATAAGATGACAGAATTAACAAATAAATTGATAAATACCTCCGAGGCATCCAACAATTCAAGACTTCAACCATTTTGGCTCTTAAGTAAGGGATCCTAATGTACTCTGGACTTGCCATGAACATGATAATCAAGTTCATAAAATCATCCTGCCAAAGAAAAAGACCAGTGACTTGATTGACAAGAACTTGTTGTTTCTTGAGTATGTTACTTGAAATCCAAACGAGATAAGAGTATCTTACTTGAAATCCAAATGAGAACCATAAAAGACATATTTAGGGTCAATTTTGTCTTTCTTTGGTGAATTTGCATCCAAGAAAGGTTCACACAATCGAAGCATGACAACACTAAGGTCCACAAACATGCCTGAACTTGCAGAAGGCATAGGATCAACCTATCACCGATCACAAATTATCCAATATTAATAAAACTTTCACCTGGATAGATAAATTATTCATTTATGGTCTAAAAAGCTTTTTTACCTGGATACGAGCCCTTGATGCATTGTTGTTGAAGATGAGCCCTGGATATGAGCACTTGGGCACAATCCTCTTAAATCCTCATACAACTGCTTCAAGATCGTTTCGATGGAATCGTAATCTGAATCCCTAAATAACTCATCCAAAAAACCAGGAGGGTAAGAGGCACCACCACTACTACCACCACCAAAAGTACCGACTGAACTAGAAACTTCAAAGAAAATCAAAGTAACAATGGAGAAACATTTGATTTATCTCTTTGGGAATCGACAAACATATCGGGGTTACCTAAGTGAATTCTATAACAGGACACTGTTAATTTCTTAGCTTGATTTACAACTAACTCCATCTGAGCCCAAACTGATTTATATTTCATATTGGTCGACAGTTGATAAGTGATAAACAACGAAGGGGAAACGATTGCGAATCTTCTATCTGAGGAATAAGGTTGCGTCTCTTGCGATTAGGGTAAGAGAAAGTGAGAAACAATCAAACAACCTAATTCCGTCTGGACTGGACTCTAGGATTAGGAAATAAGCGCTTCTCATTTTTCAATTGGAGTTAAACTAGTATTGGGCTAGTATTGGGCTGTGGTACTTAAAATATTAAATGTTGTGGTTTAAATTTTATTATTTATAAATAACAATTAATATTTATTACATTAAAATAAAATTATATATAAAAAATTAAATAATATATATATATATATATATATATATATATATATATATATATA